GAGCAGTAGCATTTAAAATACAATTAAGAGAATTAGAGATTAGGTGATAAATTGTTTGGGTAGAAGGACAAAGAGTCTAGTATAATGAAGAGCTATTTTGATTGCATTGATGACAGAGAGGAGAGTAAGAGAAGTTATGTTTGTGAAGGATATGAGAAACAGGTAGTTCATTCAGAAGGATTTTAACTTGGAAGGTTTTGAGAGTAGATGAATGAAAACTATAAGCAAAATTAGAAACCTTTTGATTATTATTGATGTAAAGCCAAGTGTCTTCCTAGTTAATATTAGGAGCAATGATAGACCACTGTTGAAAATGATGTTGGGATGTTTAAAGTGTTATAATATGGGCTTAACAGATAGTACGAATGAAGCATCAAATAGGAATTTTGATAAAAAATTGATTAATAAATGATGTATAGGCAAGATTGTAGGGATTGTTAGTTAAGAATGTTAAAAAGGGTAAAGTTTGGTGACATATAAATAGAATATTTTAGTATAGCCAAAAAATATTATAATTACAGTTTTTATAATTCACTAATTTGTGCAATAGCACAAAGTTTTTATTAATACTACTAAGCCATTTGTTACTATTGTTTTCTTTAATAATTTTTTGTTACTGCATTCTGGATTCAAATAAATAATCAGAATTATAATCTTCTAAAAGTGTATTAAAAATTAAATCTACAAGATTTTCTGATTCATTCATATTTTTTTAATTAGTTTTTATAATTCATTTCGAATTTCATTCTTTTTGCATTTATTGTTAATAAAAATTTGGTTATAACAATTAACATATATTTTTAGAATAATATGTTCATTAGATTTCATGCTTTTAATGATCACTTTTTACTTTAAATAATCAAAGAAAAAAAAAACTTACTAAATTAATTAATTAATATTTTGATAAATATTATTATCATGATCTAATCATGAACTAAGAATATATGATTTTTGAAACTTTTTTGGGTAATAATTTTATCTTGATCTACATTGAACATGCTAAAATCAATAATTTATCGAATTCATCCAGTTAATTTTTTATAAGATGTTTTAGAAATAATAATAACAGCTGTAAATCTGAATTTAATAATTAAATTTAGATAGAAATTATTAATTCAGATCAAAGTCATTATAGCATTTACAATTTAGAGATCAGGTTAGTTAATTCACTTTATATATTTATTGTAAAGATATAATCTATAACTATTTTGTATTATAAAAACTAATTTAACCTAGATTTGCATATATAAAAAATAGTTTAGATTATACCTCTAATTTATTGTTATTGATTTATAGAAATTTATTATATTAATAGTATTTCAGGATTTTGGGTAAGGTTTTAGGTTTTGGATAAGATTCAGAGTTTCAGATGAGGTTTCTGAAACTATAATCTGAAATTTGAAACTTTTAGATTTAGCCAAAAAGGTTTTAGTAACCAATTCTAATATATATAAAAGCAAAACTTAATAAGTAAAGAACTCTAAGAACTGAGATTGTGCAGGCTATGCAATAGATTCAAAAAAACCTTAATTTTTCTATCTTTAGTCAGAGATAAAATCAATATTCTATAAAACCTGTAAAATGGACATCATTATAACATACTTACCTAATTAGAGGTGCCTATAATAATTCATTTGAAACATGTGTGTTCAGCTCAACGAAAGCTATATGTAGACATAAGACTTTATGTGGAACCTTATCACCTTCCAAATAAAGAAAAGTCAATTTAGACCAACCTGTTCATGCTAGGAATTGATGTTAACTCCATCTACCCTACTTAGGTTAACTGTAAGATAATGTCAAGAGGGGTGCAATTGAAGACAATATGATGAGTTCTGGACTTGAGATATAAAACTGAAACATTTCTTATCAGTTCTATGAAAACTGAAAAAAATGTTAAAATAATGAAAGATTATATGAAAAGGATAAAAGTTAAAACAAAAATAGTTAGAAACTGTTGGGAATAATGAAAAGAGTTGTGGTCTTGTGTGGGTTCTTCTCGCAGTCAATTCATTATAAAAAAGATGGAATTTACCCTTCCAAAAGTAGAGTTCAAGTTCATAGTTTAGAGATGTATAATAATATAATTCTATAATTGTATTGCCCTTACAAGATAATACAACTAATAAAAACTCTTTTGAACTAATACAATATGCTTTTTAAAAAAAAATCATAATACTCATCTTGTAACAATCCTCATTGATCGCCTTGACCTTGTGCCAAATCAAAAAACCACCTTTATATATTTGAGAAATGTTATGTGGCATGATCATTTTTCAAGTAACAATCCGTCACATTTGCCCCATCTCTGAACTCGACCATAAAACCCGTAACAATAGGTTTTTAGGCTTAGTCATTGAAATTCAAACCAATATTCAAATTGCAAGTACTATCACCTTCTTTTATAAAGAGTCATTTTCTTATACCAGGAATAGATTGCAATGAAGAATATGGTTTCCTGTGGCTGAAATGGTGTCTGCGTAGATTTCTCCCATTCCTGGTTTCGCGTGACAACGTTGCGCAGCTACTTATTTATCAGAATTAGAATTTAGTTTTTTTAGTACAAAAGACAATTAATATAAAGGCTTGAAAGAAAAAGGTAAGAACAATGTCTACCAGTTTGAATGCTTTATGTAATATTTGATGGTATTTATATTTTTATTAAATAATTAATATCATATTTTAAAAAATAATAAATAAATTCGAAAAAGTAAAAAAACAAATGTATTAACTTCAAAAACATTATACAAATTGTAATGTTAAATCTAACAGTATCACATTCCCGATTATGTCACGTAGCTATAAGTGATCTATAAATACTATTTTTTTTTCGTATGATGATGCTTTGCAAAAATCTGCCAATTTCGAGAGTGTATTATTAGTACCAAGTTAGCTATTTAAAAAATTATTACAAGATTATTTCATTATCAGCACTTTTAACTACCTAATAAATTTGTTAAATTACTAAAAATATTTATAATATATTACATTTCATTAGCATAATAATTGATAAAATTAGTTTCAAAATAATTAAATTCTCATGAATTTCATCCTATTACCTTTTTACAATTCGATACAAATAGTTCAAGTCATGAGGAAAATCACCGATGATGATTAAATCAGGAGGACATTCACCTATACTTGAAAACCAAAAGGGCCGAAAAGATAGTCGAAAATCAGACGTTTTTAAAACGTCAGCCACCCAATAACAATTCATAATAATTTACGTAAATCACAAATTTCTTTTAAAGTAAAAAAGATGTAATGAATTAACCCAATTTAGTGTAGATTACGGAATGAATCAAAAAAAATAGTTCATGTAGCGTGGTAATCATTTCTTCCATAAATTTCATTCATTAGATTATAAGAAACTTTATCATTGGCGAAGAAATAATTTTCGGTGAAAATTATGTAACCTAGTTTATCCTTTATTCTTCCGTTTAAAGTAAGAGATTAATTAAAAATCGGTTAACATTACTATATTCAGTAATATATTATCAATTTGATTGGTTGAATGTATCACGGGTTATCCTTAAGCGATACCCCTTGTCAATCAATTGTTTGAATTATCAATATCCGGATGATGATAATTCAGTTATTCCCCGATTATTCAAATCTATATATAGAAAGAAAAGAAATTAATTTACTTTCCATTTATATATAACCGATATTTTTATTTTATTTAAAGTTTTTTTTTTCTGAAAATGATTACATAAAACTTTTTAAAAGAATATCTCACCAAATTTATGTAAATTTGATTTTTTTTTTATACTACATGTCAATCTTTGAAATCGGATCTTATAACAATTCTTCCAAATAATAAGACCGTACTAATCCGGATACTACTAGTCCCATTCTTATCTAACAATTTTGATAAGTTCATTCGAATCAAGCTTTAAAAATATATTTAGGGTCTTTTTTTTTTTTTTTAACCTGACAAAATATCAATTTGATTTTTAATTCGATTCAATTTCGACAAACTATCAAATTGATTTTGAAAAAATGTTACGTTTTACGAGTCCTCTGGTGCAAGTAATTATTGTTGGTAAGATAACTAGGATTCAAACACGTTAATAATATAATTTACTTACTCTTTTACCTTTAATTAAATAAAGGCTTCATATGTTTTCTCACGTCTGGAATGTTTAATGCTTTGAATGGTAATTTTTTCAAAGTTTTTCTGTTGATGAAATTATTGTATTCTTGAAACTAAAATATCAAAAATCTTCTTTTGTACCTTTTATATAGGGATGGGTGGTGGTGGACAACTTGATACGGAAGTTGCTTCTAATGCAAATGTAGCATTATATACATGTTTTTCCGTAGGAGGGATTTTTGCTGGCCCAATTGTTAATAAGATTGGACCATCAATTTCTTTGGCTCTTGGTGGTTTAACTTATGCTTTGTATTCGGGTTCACTCTTATATTATAATCATCTACAAAAAGACGCTTTTCCTATAGTTTCAGGAGCAATTCTTGGGCTAGGTATATTTTTAAAAATTAATGCTTGAACAGTAATAGTAAGTAATACGATAAAAAAATACATAATATTAATACATAATTTTTTAGGCGCCGCATTACTGTGGACAGGTCAAGGTGCAATTATGTTATCCTATCCCCCTGAATCTGATAAAGGAAAATACATTGGATTATTTTGGGTGATTTTTAATCTTGGTAAATATATTGATTGATTGTCTTTTATAAAATAATAATAAAAATTTTTTTGTTGATTGGATTTTTTTTTAATCTTCCTTTATATAGGTGGTGTTCTTGGTTCTATCGTTCCAATTGGTCTTAATTGGAATTCAACAGCGGGATCTGTTAATGATGGAACCTACATTGGTTTCATGGTTCTTATGGCATTTGGATCTTTGTTATCATTGGCTTTACTTCCACCTAGTAAGGTTATTCGCGACGATGGTCAATGTGTTACCATCCAAAAATTTCCTAAATGGGAAGAAGAGATTGTTGGTATGGCAAAAATATTCATAGATTGGAGAATGATTGCACTTTTCCCTATGTTTATTGCCAGTAATTGGTTTTACGCATATCAGGTACGATATAAATTACATCTCAATTTACACCTCAATTTGTATATTTTCACTATCAAGTAATTAACTTAAATACTGTATAATATTTTAGTTTAATGGTATAAACGCATTTTATTTTGATATTCGAACAAGAGCATTTAATTCTTTATGGTATTGGACTGCACAAATTTTTGGTGCTTTATTCTTTGGAAGATTTCTTGACTGGTCAGCATTCGGTAGAAGAACTCGTGGAATTTTAGGACTTGGAATTCTTACCGTTATATTAATGGCTACTTGGATTGGTGGTCTCTTTTTCCAATTAACTTATAAACGAGAAGATAATATCACTCGTATGGATTTATATGATTCTGGTTATATTACAAAGATATTACTTTATATTGCATATGGTATAATTGATGCCATATTTCAGGTAACATTAATCGCTTTCATTTTATTTTATTCAAATATATGAAGTGTATAAATTGTATGAAATATATGTTAATACTAGTTCATTAATAATTTGATTTTTTCCAGTGTTACGCATATTGGATTATGGGTGCTCTTACTAACGATGCTAATTTACTAGCAAGATACACTGGGTAAGATTAATATTGTCATAAATGCTATTTTTGTTTATATTACAATACTTATTTTTTTTCAATTACAATTACAGTTATTATAAAGCTGTTCAATCCGCAGGTGGTGCTATATCTTGGAGAATTGATGCTGTTGGAACTTCATATCTTGCACAATTTATTATTTGCTGGGTTTTGATAGCAATCTCAATTCCTTTTGCCCTCCCTGTAGTATTGAGATTAAAGGATACTAATTATGAATCTAAAAGTGCCGATGATAAAGTTGATCTCACTACGACAAAGAGTTCGGAAGGGGCTGCATAACTAGTTGTCAATTTGGAATGTTAATGACTTAAAAAAAAAAAAAGAAGTCAAATATCAATAGTTTGGCTTAAATCATATTTTAATTTGTTTAAAAAAAGTTTGGATACGGATATCCGTTGTAAATTTATTGTATTTTATTAATAAATCTCATCATTCCTCGCAGAGATCCTCAAAGACCTTATTCATATCTTAATTTTTCCTTTTGACATTTAATAATCTTTTTCTGATTATCTCTCTCTGCTAAGAATGTTTGACTATTTACTACTATTCTTGAAATTATTAAACTTTATGTTTGCTTAACCAAATTCTTGCGTATTTTCGAATTTAAAAAATTTACCAGATTAAAACAAAGTCTTTTGTACTGTTACTATCGAGAACTAAAGGTGATATCTCAGAAATAATTAGTAACCGAATAATAACTCTCGTGATTAAAGAATTAAGATGTCACAATGAACTAGGCTATTTGGTTGTTACGGATGAAGTCCGTCAGCCGAAATAAAATAATCGGCTGATGCAAACTAATTGAAGTTAAGAAGTATTTTCAAATGAAAGATTAATATGCAATGAAATTCTAAGCAAACTTTTGGTGAAGGCATAAGAAAACCTCTTTCGATCATATTTACAAGAAATTATTTAAAGGACGTAAAAATGAATGCAGCTTTTCTCACACATAAGAATAATTATAACAGACATACTACAAAACCCAAATCACCTTAATTACACTTAATTCGAGTTGCCTTAAGTTTGTTCTAGTTCGTCTTACCGCAACAATACGATACTGTTCAAAAGTTTTGCGCGAAATAGCTTACCTTTTTTAGTATAATTTTCTTTAAATTGAAAATTCAAATTTAGTGGCCAATGAAATTTATCTAACCAGCGTAAATTCTAGGTTTTACGATTTTCTTCTATTGTTCCTATATTAACGTATCAAAATCTGTTTTTGGTAGAATCTGGGCCCCATAGCTTATTGATTAAACTCATAGACCCCACAAACAATGTCAACTATTCGAAAATATTTTGAGTATACTTCTGTAACCTAAAAAGTAGGGGCCATAATCGAATGCGGAGCCCTGTGGAAAGTTCATGTACAAGTATAAATTCGGAAAAGGAATTTCCAGAAGGAAACTAATTATGGAGAAGGCATTACATGTAACAATGAAGTTACAGAAGGTTCTGGTACATGTGACGTACATATGTAAGTCCTTGGAGGAAAAAAGCAACATCAACATCTTGCAAACACATCTAGGCAGTACCAACATCATTTCAACTTGAGGTACTTGATTGGTAGAGTGATCATTGGGTTGCGCAAATAAGTTCTATCTAGGATCTACGTAACCAAAATTGGGATGAGAACAATTTGTGATAAAGAATTGACTTTGTCAGATTTAGGAACACCTCTGATAATATGTGAAGATCCGAGATGCTATTTAGAAACGTAAGCATATATGCAAAATATGAGTAAAAGTCTGATAATGGTATTTAACAAAAGCATCAGGTTGATAATATAATAATATAGCAAAAGGTATAATCTTGTATTACAAATCTTTTGAAAATAATATAAAGCCTTATTGAAAGTAATATTGCTATGTATAAAATAAAACTTATATCTCACCAACACACAAAAATTTCTGTTAATGTATAATGCATAGTACAAAGGTTACTAATGAACATATAAGTACTAGAAATGGCAGACCTGAAAGGTGATTAAGTTAAAGGCTATAGGTTGATAGAATTGACGTGAACAATCAGGCCTTATAGAAAACTAACATCATACAGGAAGTAAACGGCAAGGATTACGAATGCTTCTAGGATTACCCTAGTCGCCTATATGGGAGTACCTTGGTAAGCAATGTGAGCAATGTAGAAGATACATAACAAGAAAGATAGGTTGAAGCACAAAAATCCTGATCTATATAATTGTGAGGCTAATAGTCTAGGTTAAGTATACCTTAAGCATAAAGTAGTCCTAAATATAAGACCAAGTGGACGTATATAAAAAAAAAAAGAAAAAAATCCTGTTCCCGATTGATTAAAATATAGTTTATTAAATTTGGCGTCACATATCTAAATAATAATTCTGTTGGTTTCATGTACAATATTAAAAAAGAAAATGTAAGCGAGAGTTTTTGTAAAGTAACTAATTTGACAATCGATTCTTTTTCGGAAAACTGTATTTTCCAGTTATTGAATTAGACATTTTGGGAATTGATGTATAGAGTATATCGTTTTGAATTTAAGTCGTTTTTAAGATTTATTTATAACGCAGCGTGTAACAAATTAATTAAACGTCAAAAACGTTAATATATATATATATATGATCATTGGTGACAACTAATACCACAAGTCATATTTCCTTTTTTACATTTATAATTAATTTTATCATACGTATTTTTGCATTTGCATTTGCATATAGCATCTCATATAGCATCACTTACTTGCGAGAGAATTGCATAATAAATGCTTCTCGAACGTTTATGAGCGTTGAAGAAATAGAGTCAAATTTCATGAGGGACTTCAGAATTAACGCGTGGGGATCTAATTTTGACAGAACTAGATAACGTATTTATTCTCAATTGAGCGATGTATTAACGTTATTTGATTTTACGATAAATTTAACCTTATTGCTGAAAAATTTACTTATTGTCAAATGGAAGTCCTTAAACACTCCTATTTCATTTTCAAATTTCATACGTGAACAGGGGTTTCAAAATTAATGATTTGGCATCCGATCTCAGATAAAATAAGTAACGTATTTACGTTGAAACATGCGATACATAAATCCTATTCTTTTTACCGTGTAGACTTATTTAAAATGAAACTTTTGCAGGAGCATTGGAGCTGAACTTTAATGACTTGCACTTAGAGGATAATAAGAAAAAGTGAATTTATGGAGGTCATGTATATATTTGCGCCTAAATTTAAGTGTGTATTTGGAGAGTGTGGTGAAGGTTTCACTGTACATAATCGTTTCCAGTATATATTTATCAAAAAAATGCTAATTTTATTAACGTGAGCGGTTGTGTAATTCACTGAATTAGAATTTTAAAAATCTTTTAAACTCTCAATTATTTTTGAGAAGGCTTAATTATCAAACTCTTAATTAAATTTTTTAGACTCACATTTCCTTTAGAGATCTGATTGACTGTCACACTTCTATGTTCTATTTATTAGGCTTAGTATTAGCACCATAATAAATTTTAATTTTTATTAAAACTTGAATTACTTACGGTATACTAATATATTTCAAAAGTCATGTAATGGAAACTTAAGCTACTATGAGCAGTTAAATATTATTGATAATTTTGAATGTATCAAATATTAATCTTTTGTATTTTACAGAAAAATGTTTCATAAACAGTTCACTTTATGACAAATTCTTCTTACTAATAGCTCATTTCACTAACAGCTCATTTTACTAACAAAACACATTTATTTTAAGAAAATCAATTCACGGATAGAATATTTTGTAAATGGTTTATCAATAGCTTATTTCATACACAATTTACTCGTTTGAGAATTGATTGTCTGCAATCATTGAACATGGGCTGTTTATAGACAGTCAATGTTCAATGCCTATGTCTATAGTTTGGACATGGACATTAACATATCCTTTATATGTCCATGGATATAGATATTTTTGAGAGATATTGTATATATGGGGGTGTGTCAATAGAAACCAAGCAAATTATTTTTAGCGAGTTTTTTTAAAATTTTAAATTAAAATATCTCAACAACTATTAAACCAACTTTGATGAATTTTTTTTTCTTTTAAT